CCTGCTAACAGTAAACCTACTGGCCTGGACTTCCTGCTGGCATTCAATGTCGGCATTGAAATACAGGGCCGATTGATGAGGTTCTCCAATGAGGCCCGCAACATCCCCAAGAGGTGAACACTTTAAAAACGTGAATAAAATTGAACATAGAGGCTGTAATTTTTAGGCTTGTAATATGATTTCTCTAACTGATCATTTAGGAGAAAGAAATAAACAAATAAGCACAAGTCTACAGTGTAGAGATCCATGTTTGATTTTGCTGATCTCGGCAGTGTGGTTTACAAGAAGGCTGGTACAGAGTAATGTGCAGTCTCTTAGTGGTGTCAGTACACTTTGAAGCGTGTGTTATTATGTTAATCTCGGGGACAACAGAGGCTCTGTGGGCATAAACATTTAGGGGGGAGTGTGACACAGGACAGCTTTCGAAAAGTGTTTACACCAAGTCAAATTACCCACCACATTATTTGCTTGTATTCTAAAAGTGTTCAGTTTTCTTTAGCACTACTGAAATACACTGCTTCTGCATGTGAGTTGCATTTGTACAAAGTACCTGTTTGTAGCCTCACACGCATGCTTTCTGGAAAACATCCATTTAAAATGTTCCTTTAGACACAAAGGTAAACAGTTGCAAAACACCTGACCAAAGTCTCTGTGTGTCTCTCCGTCTTCCTCATCACCAGGTTTCACCCTCCCAGTGTGGTAGGGACCATGGGAAGTGCAGCTGCCTGTGCTCACCTCTTGTCCCTGGACCCCTCCCGTTGCAGTCATGCCTTGGCCATAGCAGCTTCTTTATCTGGAGCTCCAATGGCTAATGCTGCTACTCAGTCTAAACCACTCCACATTGGTAATGCTGCACGTCTGGGGCTGGAGGCTGCTCTGCTGGCCTCCCGAGGCCTAGAGGCAAGTCCTCTGGTCTTGGATGCTGTTGAAGGGGTGGCTGGTTTCAGTGCTTTTTATGAAGACTATGTGCCTCAGCCTTTAGAATCACCCAGTGATGGTGACCATATGTTCCTGCTAGAGAAGCAGGATATGGGCTTCAAGCGTTTCCCAGCCCATCTGGGTATGCACTGGGTGGCAGATGCTGCAGCTTCAGTTCATAAGCTTCTCGTGGGAGCTGGGCCTGGCACTGTCTCC